AAAACAGACATGTGGTTTTTCAGGCCTCTCAGCCCCATCTCCTCTCTGATCTGGACTCTCCCAGATGTCCCTGCCTCTGGCGATGCTCTCCCACATGTCTACAATAAACTTTCTCCTCCACCATCTAGGAGCAGTCATAGCCTTTCCTTTCCTTTTCCTTTCTTTTTTTTAATTCAGAAGGCATGAGTCAACTGCTCTTTGTACAATGTGGATTTCAGTACAGATAGATTACAAACAGTTGTGATGCTAACATATCTAAAACTTTTATCTCTTTTTGTAAACTTAAAAAGTTCCTGTAAGCCTCAGGGAATGGACTTGAATCAGCCTCTCAGAGGTCAAACGGACTCCAGATTCTCCTGTGAACCAACAGCCTAAGTTTTCCTGCCTACTGCCTATTTCTGGGGGTGGAATCTCTCCCCCTTTCCCTGGTCTTGGGACTCCCCTCCCCCAATTGCCAAGACTGTGGGCCTAGAAGTTTCAAATGTACACCCAAGATTAAAAAAAAATTCCCCTAAACTCCTTAACTTTACCTTCTCTTCCTAGTCAATCTTTTCCTGCAGATTTCAAGTCAACTGCAGACTTCTCCAGCAACAAGCTAGGTGTTCCTTCAAAATCTGCATTCCAGACAGCCTCAAAGTTGCTAGCCCTGGATGGTCCTGCAGCGCCTGGACAGCCAGTGAAGCAGCCTGCTCTTCCCATACTTGACCAGCATTCCAGCTTTCAAGGGTTGGTTTTACTTATTTATTACTATCAAGTCTTTGTTCATTTACTTAAAAATTTTTTTCAAGACAGGGTTTCTCTGTGTAACAGTCCTAGCTATGCTGGAACTCGCTCTGTAGACCAGGCTGGCCTCAAACTAGAGGCAGAGATCCACCTGCCTCTGCCACCTGAGTGCTGGGATTAAAGGTGTGCACCACCACCCGGCTAAGCTGACTTTTTTTTTTTAAGATTTATTTATTTATTATATATACAGTGTTCTATTTGTATGTCTGTCTGCACACAAGAAGAGGGCACCAGATCTCATTATAGATGGTTGTGAGCCACCATGTAGTTGCTGGGAATTGAACTCTGGAAGAGCAGTCAGTGCTCTTAACCTCTGAGCCATCTCTCCAGCCTGACCTTTTTTTTTTTTTTTTTTAAGTGACCAATGACATTTGACAAACAGTATAGAAGGTGGGTGGTCTGCCTGGGCTGTTGTGCGTTTCATTTTCCTCACAATCCACATGTACACCCTGAATAAAATTTCATGCAATGTTCTTTGGAGATTTGGGGGTTTTTTATGTTTTGTTTTTCTGTTTCTTTTGAGACAAGTTCTCACCATGCAGCCCTGGCTGGCCTGGAACTCACAGACATCCCCCTGCCTCAGCTTCCTGAGTGCCAGGCTCACAGGTATGCACCACACACCCAGCCTTTTAGTAAGTTTTTAGGTGAGGGTCTGGGGTCTGCAATGTTTCCTGGCTTTTCCTAGTTTATATTCCTTGACCCTAGGCTGCAGCCACCAAGGAATTACCAGAAAGAAAAGAAAAAGGAATTTGTAGTTATTTTCACAAGTAACCAAGGTGGCATCTGCAGGGATGGATGCTGAGTCAGGGCAGGGAGGGGAAATAAAGTCACCACAGAGGAGGCAGCTACCCAAGGGAACCTGATTCTGCTGAGGTCCAAGCTGTGACCCTGAACATCCAGGGCTTCAAGGAGGATCTGAGACTAGGGGATGTGTGCAAGTGTCCACAAGGCTTGTCCAGGGTGGATCCACAGTAAAGCCTGGATAATCCACAAATCTAACAGGAAAAAAAATACACAAACGGGTCAAATCCAGCCATGAAATAGTATGTGTGCAGCCTTGTAAAGGCAGGAAGCTCTTAGAAACTAAATACATGAATGAATGAATAAATGAATGAATGAATGAATGAATGAATGAATGATTAAAAATAATAAATTATTTATGGGGCTGGTGAGACAACTCAGCAGTTCCGAGTACAGGCAGAGGACCCAGGTTTGGTTCCCAGTGCCCACACGGAGACAACTCCAGAATCCCCATCTCTGTGCTCAAGGACCTCTGATTGTTTTAGAAAACAAATTCAACTTCTGTTGTGAAACAGATGCAACTTCTGGTGTTACGAACTCTGAAGCTTTGACCTCCCGGCTGTTTCAGTTCCCACTGACACCTGTGATTGAAGCCCCACCACAAACACGCCCCCAACAGGTAATTTGACACCCCACATAAAGCAAGTAGTTAGTTTCTCCCAAGCACTTGAGCTCCACCCACCTGCTTGTCAATCACGTGTAATTGACAGCAGTGAAACCCTAAGGCTTTGTTGACAAGATGCATTGACTAACACCACACCAAACCCACAAACCCTTCTTAAACATAGAGTTTTAGTCTACGGAAGACACAGTTCTTGTCCTTTCTGAGGCTATTATAGCTAACTGGGTAAGGCGCTCATAGCTCAGTGTGTAGGGTGCTTGCAGATTAGTAAGAAGGGTGCGTGTAGCTCAGTTGGTAGAGTACTTACCTAGCATTCAGGAAGGAGGTTAGCAGTTCAGTTCTCTTAGCGTTGTGGGTCCAAGGAATGAACTCAGGCTGTCAGGCATGATGTAAGAGCCTCTACACACCGAGCCATCCAACACAGTTTTTTGTTTGTTAATATTTTAAGACAGTACCCAGGTGGGTGTGCTAGCGCACTTACGAAGCTGAGGCAGAAGAATTGCTGCGCTTGACATCAGCCTGAGCGAGGTAGCATGTGTTTTGATTTATTTCCTGTTGCTGTGACAAACCCCTTTACCAGCAGCAAAGAAAGTGACTTTTATTTAAAAACAAGAACCCTCCGGAGCTTACTTGCAACTTCATTGCCAAATACAGGAACTGAACAAAGGGTGGAAAGCAGCATCATTTTCCCGAAAATCAAGGATGGGGAAGAGAAACCAGGGCCACCCATGAGGAGAAAAAGGGCACTCAGAAGCTGGAAGTAGCTGAAAAGATCCTCCCTGGGACCTGACAAGGAAGCCACGACATGAACTCCACCCACCCTGCACCATCTGGGGGCCCCTGTGACATCCTGGAACCAACCCAACCTGCACTCTTTGATGTCACCCACCCTGCGACATCTTGGATCTCATTCCCCCTCTGCCATCTTGGATCCAGCACTCTATCAAACAAGCTAAGAGCACTTTTCCCACAGAGCCAGAAGCACAGTACCCATGAGCCTCTCCTCTAGCCCCATAGCCAACCCTTGATTGCCCATGTTTCCTTGCATTTATTGTTCTATATTTCTACCATATTCCTGGTAGGGGCGGATTCATTACCACCATGAGCCCTTTGGGGTCTGAACAGCAGCACATGCTCTGCATCTGAGGCAGTTTTGCTTCAGTTATCAGTGGCTGGCGTTTGGTTTTTATCAAACTTGCTTTGCCTGGCAGAGGTCGAGCTGCCAATAAATAATACATGGGATCACGACGTTTGTTCAGGCCAAAGCAGGAGCTGCTTTCAGGTGCATGTTCAAGTGCTCTATGACCCCGGGTGACCCCAGCATCACTGGTGCTGAACCTCTGAGACCCTGAAGCCATATACCCATGGGGCATATGTTAGCAGAGCATGCCCAAGCGCCACAAAAGCAGCCAACACGGAGAGGGCTGGGTCCACAAAGTCGCTGTCGGTACTAAGTGATGCATGGGAACCAAACAAGGCTGTAGAGAGCAAAGCAGGAAGAAAAGAGACCCACTGTGTGACAAGGAGGGGAGGACACAGCCACACGGGACTGCTCTGGGTACTGAGCCTGCAGCCCTCCCTGGGTACTAGGCCTCACATCACCCCTGGTTTCAGGAGGATGAAACCTGTTACGGTGACCGCCTACTCTAGGCTGAGTGGGATGTGCACACACAGAGAAGGGTGGGTAGAGGAGCACACGGGAGCAAGTCTGGCCATCCTCCTGCCTCGGGAGTATGTGTATATTATTCACGTGGGCGCTGGAAATTCGAGCTCAGATCCTAATTGCTCAATCTGCCAACCTCACAGATTATCTGGCTGTATCAGATAGTAAATGTTTGTTGAGTTGAATAAATGCTTTTGTCATCATGAAACCAAAACCAAAATAATAGCTCTGTGCATTCTGACTAGTGAAGTATCAGGTCCTAGCAGGCACTCAGTGTTTACTGAATAAATAAATGTTGTTCTCAATATGAAACAATAAAAAATAATAATAAGCCAGCAGACTTCCTTGTTTTCAAGGTCAGATGTACCTGCCACCCACGGTCACCATCAGGGCACCTGCTCCTGAGTGGAAGATCCCTTCTTTATCCCTATCTCAGGGCCCCTTTCGGCCCTGTGTCTCTCAGGACCCTATGCCTCCTAGCTAACAACAGGGTTGTGCCACGCGCATGCTCTAAGCAGCAGCCGGGGGAACCGCATTCTTTGCATGCCAGGCTCAGGGAAACACTGCCCACGCCTTGCAGGTGGCGGCTGTGGCCTGAAAAGCACCTCATTCTCAGCACTCTCTGCGAGTCCAAGCGTGTATGATGCCCCATAAGAGGTCTCTGGAAATCCTGTCTACCTAGGAGTCCTCGGGCTCAGGAATAGCAGGTGCCACGGGTCCATGGTGAGCACCGGCTTCCGGAGGGGCAGGGCCGGGGGACTGCGAGGCTCTTGCAGCGCTCGCCCGACAACTTTGTAAGTTCGATCCCCCTCTCCTGGAAGCCGTGCCCCACCTGGACTCCTCCCCCTGGTGCCTCCACCTCTCCACCTCTCCAGCTGTGACAGGAACATCCCCGGCTGGCAGCCGGAAGTTCCTGCGCCTCTTCCATTTAGCTTTTTGCCCAGGGGGGAGGGACGTGATCCGGGATCCCGGTGTCCCCCTAACAGCCCCCCCCCCTTTTTTTACTTTGGTACAGGTCCGTCCCGGGGCCGGGGCTGAGAAACAGGCAGGGCGTGGCCACGACCAGGCCCCGCCCAGGTCGAGGTAAGAGAGAGGGCGGAGCGCAACAAAGGCACCTCCTCTGTTACGTCGTCGGTCCCCACCCCAACCCGACGGCTTAGACCGGTCCCCGCCCAGCCGGCTTCCGCCGGGAATGAAGAGCGGTGGGGTTGGCGCTGGTCCCGCGGACCCCACGCGTTACCGCGGAGCGCCCCAGCCGCTTCCAACAGATCCCCCCGCCGTTCTGAGCCCGGCCGCGTGCGCTCCCATTGTCTTTAAGGCGGTGGGAGCTGGGAGGCGTGTGCGAGGCCTCTGCTGATGCCGAGGCTGCCGTTTTGCCACCTTCGCACGTAGAGTCCCCCCGCCCCATGGAGGTACCAGCAGGGGCCGCGGCAACCGGAAAGGATCATGCGGCCAAAGACCACCCCAAAGATCCTAAGGTCTTGGCGCCAGGTGGAGATCTCCCGGCCAAAACATCATCCCCGCACAAAAGTGGACACGCGCTGCATGACTGGGACACCTTAGCTACTGTAGGTGAGTAAGAGAGAACTCGAGTGTCGGGACACGGCCTGTAGGCGGTCACGCAAGGGTCCCCTGCGACCCTGGGGACTTTATCTCCCACATATTCAGTACATGGCCTCTGGAAACGGGGCGGCCCTACGTCACAGAGCTTTAAGGAGGGTGACTTCACCTTGGGGACTCGGTGGCTCCCTGCTGGGGTGCCAGTTACCCCGGGGACACCACGCCCGGCTTCCCTGGCGCTTGCGCACCCGCTCGGGCCCAGGATGCCTCGGGGTCGAATCCAGCCTCCCCAGTGTGGACCCATGGTGGGTCAGAGGGATGCGTGACCCCGGGGGGACCCTTCAGGGGCAGATATGCCGATGTTTTCCCCGCATCCCCTGTGTGCCCAGGTGTCGGTTTTTCTTTAGTGCCTCGGAACTTGATCTCCCCGTGACCCTGCAGGTTGCTGAGGAAGCCGGTGGATTCCTGCACGGGCCGGGATGCTCCGAGGGGGCTGGGATCGCGCGAGGCATCGTGGGCGGCTGCCTCTCAAGTTTGACTCCTGGGAGTCCGGGGCGTCTCGGAGACCTCGGTCTCTAGGACAATTGTGCCTAGTGTGTTGATTTTTAGGAAAGTGTTCCTGGAGGAGGGACAGAGGGAGGGAGGGAGGGACTGGCGCCCTCCGCTTGGCTGCAGGCAGAAATTCTAGAGACTTCTCCCTGAACCCCGGTGTTGGAAGGGAGGAAGTAAAGTCGGGGTTCAGCGCCAGGGCTGAGGGAGGATTAACACCTTCTCAGCCAGGCTGGAGAGATGACTCGGTGAGTAAAGGAGCTTGCGACCTGAGTTCTAGCCAGGTTCCCTCCCGCGTGGAGGCTGTCGCTCGCTGCGACCCAGCTTTTGATTGATTGACTTTTGAGGGAAATGGAGCCGCTTGAATGTCGTTTACTTATGTAGCCCTGGCTGGTCTTCCTGTCACTGTGTAGTCCAGAATGGCCTTAAAGTGTACATTTCCCTACCAACCCTTCCTAAGTGCTGACATTGCAGTCCCACTCCCCCACAGATTGCTTATAAGGTGCTGGGAACTGAGCCCCGCCCTTGTTTATGAGACAGTGAGTGACCTGAAAGTCACTTCATAGCTCAAGCCCCCTGGAGACTCCAGGCAGTCCTCCTGTCTTAGCTTTCCCAGGGCTGGGACCATAGGGACTCACGGGCACTCAGCCCCTCTGCTGGTTCACTACCCTTTTCTTTCTTTTGTTTTTGGAGGCAAGGACTCTCTACATAGCCCTGGCTGTCGTGGAACTTACTGTGTAGACCAGACTGGCTTTGAACTCCTAGAGATCCTCCTGCCTCTGCCTCCCAAGTGTTAGGATTAAATTCGTGCACCACCACACCTGGCTCCTTTGTTTTAAATTCACTTATTTACTGTGCGCATGTGGGCGTGGGTGTGTGGAATGGACAGCCCAAGTGTCAGGGTCAGGGATCAACTTTGAGGTGTCTGTTATTCTGTCTTCCACCAAGTGGGTTCAGGGTATTGAACTCAAATCCTTGGGTTTGCCTACTGAGCCCTCTTTCTACCCCACTGTGTCTGGAGCATGGACCCCATTGGGCACCTCCCTGGGCCGTGTCAAATACTGAATCCTACCACCTTTCTTTACTGTGAGCCTGTTCCCTCCGAACCTTCCAGATAGACCTGGGTGCACACGTCATCCTCCCCTCTCCCCATTCATTCTTTCATTTTCTATACACACACTTAACTGAGCTACAAGCACTCTCCTCATTGAGCCCGCACATAAATTTAGACCGAGTCTATGACAAACATGGAGTTTTGGGGGTGTTTGAGACAGGGCTTCCAAGTGTAGCCCTGCCAGGCTGGCCTGGAGCTGCTGGTGCCTACAAGTACATACCATCCCAAACCGCAGGGAACACACACACACACACACACACACACACACACACACACACACACACACACATGCTCATAGGAATACTCTAGAGCTCACCAGGGGACCCCTGCATCTCCAGTCATTCCCCAGCACACACCCCACTCTGCATTCTCCAGGAAATAAATATTGATGGTATTGCCTCCTACCTGAAACTCATTTCTCTATTCGTTTGGAAACTCAAATAAAGAACATTCCAGGCTGAGGATGTGACTCAGTGGGTACAGTGCTTATAGCTTAGTTGGAATAGTGCTTACAGCCTGGTGGGTGGACTGCTTGTGTTTCTACAGATACAGTTCATGTGGCTCAGTGGACAGAGTATTTATAGCTCAGTGGGTAGAGTACTTGTAGCTTAATTGGTACAGTGCCTCCATTCAGTGGGTAGAGTATTATAGCTAAGTGGCTGAGTGCTTGTGACTCAGTGGGTAGACTGCCTTTAGCTCAGTGGGCAGGATGTTTGTAACTATAGCTAAGTGGGTAGAATTCTTGCAACTCGGGGGATCTCCTATCTAAATTTACTGAACAGGACCCCTCCCTCTGCTTGGCTGGACCTCTCCTGCACTCTTGTTTCTCTGGACTCAGTCATGATCCCTTGTGTTCTGAGCTATCACCTGTGCCTCAGTTTACCGTTCAGTGACTTGGTGGCTGGCTTTACGAAAGCCAGTGTTAAGCCAGTGTTAAATCCTCGGTACTGCAAGAGCAGGAGCTCTTTGGTCTGTCTGGGTGGGAGCCTCATCCTTAGATGTAGGGTCACATGACTAGCCATCTGTTAGATCACCACAGGCTAGCACCTTATAAACAAGAGGAATTGCTGAGGGCTGGGGGGGGGGAGAGGGAGGGGCACCACCTGGTAGTCCACAGTGAACCATCTAGGGGACACTTTGGCTGTTTCATTGAGGCAGGAGGTGCCGGTGCATGAGTGGGGACCCAGAGTTCTTGAAAAGGAAAAGAATCATTCCGTCAATCACCAATCAGTCAATTAATATGGCCGGTCACCAGCGTTCATGCCTGTGGATGCAATAAGAGCAGCTGCGTCATACTCCTGTGTCCATGTCATCCCCTCCACAAGCCCCACCCTCACTGCCACATGCCTGGTCGGCATTTGGAGTAAAGTGTAAGATTTGCATAACATTCATGGATATGCAAATATATGCTTATCCACATTGTACCTCAAAGACCTCTGACTCCTAGAGCAGTCCCATGGTACGTGGGAAAGGGAGACTGTTCACCCATCGGGGCTGTTCTCTTTGCAAAGTCCCTAAAGATGGGAATGCTGTGTATAAGACCCTTCACCACATCACCACCTCCCGGAGTGCCACCTTCTCATTCCTTGTGGTTTATGGGGGTGGGGCTCATTGTCATTCAAGCCAAGCATCCGCCCTGATGGAGTGAAGGATCATGAGATGGAGGGATATGGCCACAGGATGTCTGCAGCACCGAGAAGCTGGACTGGATAGGGAGGGTCCTCCCTAGGGCCTACAGGTGGCAGGGCTGATGCACATACACCTCATTGCCCTGTGCTTGGCAGGAGGACAACAGGTGAACCTACCCACTCTGTGCCATCTTAAATCTCACCCACCCTGCGCCATTTTGGGTTAACCCTATATGTGCCATCTTGAAAGCCACCCGCCCTGCACTATCTTAACTGAACCTACCATCACCATCTAGAATCCCACCCATTGGCAGCCATCTTGAATTATTTCAGGTTTCTTTTTCTGACTGTTTTCTCCTGAACATTCTCCTAGGACATAAGGTGTCTGTCCTGGCCTCCTCAACCCATGGCTGTGTGTCTGTCCATCTCCTCAGCCCCTGGCACCCTCATCTCTAAATCACCAAGGTTGACATACTGTGGTCTCTCTCTCAGAGGCACTTGCCCTGAATCACTGTGATGCTGGTTCTAGAGTGAGTTTCAGTGTGATTTTGCCCTAGGGGTGGGGCCAGTTTGGGGACACCACCCAGAAGGAGGAAAACAGGAACTTGTCACAGCGTTAGTCACACAGGCCAGTGCTTCTTGCTTCTATCTCCCCTAGAGCCTGGGTGCTCTAGGCTGAGTCTAACCACACTCTAAGGACAGACAGCATCTTCATTCTCTTGAAGACTTGTGCATCCTGAGACTTTCTCTGTATTCACTCAAATTTCATTTTATTTTATTTTTAAAGTGCTGGACATTGAATATAGAGCCTCATTTACACTAAGGAAATCCCTTCCTCCCTCTTAAGTCTCCTCCCTCCTCTTTTTCTTCCTGAGTCTCCCCTTGTAGCTCAGGCTTTCCTGGAACTCACTGTGTAGTTTAGGCTGCCCTCAAACCCCTGGTAATCCTTCTGTTTCTACCTCAGAAGCTCTAGGATTAAAGCCTTCCTCACCAGGCAGAGTTTTTGCAAAGCTGGGGATTGAGCCCAGGGCTTTATGTGTGCTACACTAAATAGCTTACTTACAGTTTTATTTCCTATCTGTAATAGCCATCAGGCCATCACACTTCCTTTATTTTAAAAAGATTTCCCCTTGAGGTTGAGGATGTAACTCAGTTGATGCAGTGCTTGTAACTCTGTGGGTAGAGTGCTTGTGGCTTAGTAGATTGGCTCTTCCTGTGGCAGGCCATCGGTGCTAATGACACATTGGCATCCCTGAAACTTGGCTCCTACAGGAATATTCTGGATTGTGCTTCCAGTCCACTCTTTGGTTTATGTTTTCCTTTGTGAGGCTGGAAATGGAGTGTGGGGACATTTCTTTATTATTATTTTTGGGGGATGGAACCTAAGACCTTGTGCATGCCAAGCAAGCACTCCACTGAGCTACACACCCCAGTCCAAGAGAAAACTTTATTAGTATTACCATCATTATTATTACTATTATTACTCTTGTTGTTGTGTTAGGTGCTGGGGATGCAACTGAGGGACTCATTGGTGCCAGGCATGTACCCCCATCCCCTCCCGCCCACCTCATTAAACACATTAGGTGCTATATTGACCTGAGACAAAAATCACCAATTTCCAATATGATGGAGAAAAGGAAAGAACCTGCATCTCTCCACACAGCCTACTGGGATTGTCCCTACTTGCACCCCATTGGTTACTGAGACCCAGTTCTGGGCATCTGGACCACTTCCATGTAACATCTGTGTCCACTACCCCAGGAGCCTTGTTTCGTTAAAAAAAAAATCATGCCACCCCCATGGCAGACATACAGAAAGTTACTTTTGTACAGTCCCAGGCATCCATGGATGGGGCACTTGACTGCCATTTGTAGAGTGTGCACAGTGCGAGGGCGGCATCTTCCTACTCCGAGATAGTCATTTTTTTTTAATTGGGGAGTTCACTCATCCATGTGGTGTAGAGGGCAACCTCAGAGTCTGTAAGGGCTATAAAATCGTGTGCAATTAATTTGGGTGGTGATGTTTGTTACCTTGCTGCCCCGTGACCTGGGAGTCACTTTACAGGTCATGGAACTGTGCTAGGGTGACTGGTGTGAATGGCTGGGGCTAAAGTGTCAAAGATGGAGTGATTTTGCATCATATAGGGATGCTGGGACATTCACTGGAGATGGGCAAATACAACATGCATTTGAGTGATTGTGGGTATGTTGGTGTCTTACAACCAAGGGATTGGGGGCTAGAGGTTGTATAGGGACAGACAACTTATGCTTGAGCACAATGACAACACAATTCATTCTACAAACTTTGAAAATTGGTGTGGAATGTGTATTAGCTACCTTTCTATTGCTATGACAAAATCTCTGGCATAATACAATTATAAAGATTTGTATTAGCTCCATTGATTTGGACTGTGGTGACGCAGACCATCATGGGAGCATGTGGTAGAGCAGAGGTGCTCACTACATAGTGGCCAGGAAACATACAGAAGAGGAGACTGGGGTCCCAGTGTCCCCTTCAATGACACGCCCCTGATGAGCTAAGTTTCTCCCACTAGGCAGTAAATAGCACCTTGCCCTGGGAGTTTCTGGTACTTTCTGGTTGTCTTTGTTCTGGCAGCTTCTGGGAGTTGGCGCTCTGCTGCACTGTGCTTTTCCATGGTGTTAGGTTTCTCAGCCTGTGCTTTGGCTCTGCAGCTCCCCTGCTCTGTGTAATCAACACCACCAGCTGCCTCTGCACCCACAAGCCGCAGACACAAGTGTGAAGGAAACAGGTCGGCAGCCATCTGACGCAGAAGCCATCCTGTGGACTGCACAGCACAGTGCATCTGTCAGGCTCTGCTCACACGGTGTATTTTAGACACAAAAGTGATATGCCATCCACCAGTCAGAAACACAGGCAAAAGTTCTGGTGTCACAGCACTTGCTTTTCTCATTGCTGTGACAAAATGCTTGATAATCGGAATTTAAGGGAGGAGAGGATTATTCTGGCTCAGACTGGTGCCAGTCCATCATGGAGACAGGAGTATGAGAGTCAGGAGCAGAGAGAGGTGACCACTGAGGCCCAGCTCTCTTCTTTTTATTTAATCCAGGAGCCAGCAAAGGAATGGTGATGCCCACATTAAGGGTGGGATTTTCTACCTTTCTATTGCTATGACAAAAATCTCTGACATAATACAGTTATAAAGATTTGTATTAGCTCCATTGATTTGGACTGTGGTGACACAAAGTGAACCACATATTCAGGGGTGGCCTGGAACAGACCCTGCTGAGATTATTCTAAGAACATTTTCAGTGTGGCTACTCAAATCCTCTTTGAAATGTCTATAAACACTCCCACCCACTTTTTACCCATCTGATCTACTCTGGGCCAGTTCTGGCTTCCACTCAGGGTCACTTGTGACTCTGTGTGCCTCCTCTAATCCTGTGTGTTCTGTGATAGGTATCTCCTGATTGATTGGCATCCTTTTCTAAATAACTAAGCTACAGAGACCTATTTTATATCACAATTAATTGATTGTAAGCTAAGATAGCAGAAGTAAAAATAATGCTTTTGGGGGGGCATTGCAAAGCATGCCTTTTGCCCCTTTAACACGACTTTAGTGCTGAATATGGTTTTCGTGGTCGTTGGGCTGTTCAGCCCGATGTCTAGCTGTGGGTGTGTCCTTCTTGATCTTTGCCTAGCTCTAGCTTGCTGTGGGGAACATCCTGCATGGTTGCATTGGTGGGAGAAGATTGGGATTTTATGAGGTTTGCTTTTTCTTTCTTCTTTCTTCTTTTGGGGCAGGGAATTGAGACAGGATTTGTCTCTGTAACTATCCTGGCTGTTCTGGAACTCTCTCTGTAGACCAGGGTGGCCTTGAACTCACGAAGATCCACCTGCCTCTGACTGTCAAGTGCTGGGATTAAAGGCGTGTGCCACTACCATCCGGTGAGGTTTGTTTTTTCTGAGTACATAACTTTACTACATCATAAGAGCAAGCACTGTGCATTGAAGTATTATAAGGCAGAAAGCAACTATGTTTAAAAGTTGAGGTGGGAGCTGGGCATTAGTGGCTCACACCTTTAATCCCAGCACTTGGGAGGTAGAGGCAGGTGGATCTCTGTGAGTTCAAGGCCAGCCTGGTCTACAGAGCAAGATCCAGGACAGGCACCAAAGCTCCACAGAGAATCCCTGTCTATAAAAAAAAAAAAAGCCAGGATGTGGGAGTGTGGGAGTGTGGGTGGGTGGGTAGATGGATGGATGGATAGGTTGGGAGTGGCTGGTGGATGGGTTATTATAGTATAGAGTGAAATGGAAAAGTTGTGAGAGGAGAGAGAAGAGATGGCTGTGGAGCTGGAGAAATGGAACAAAAGGGGCATAGGGAGAGATGAGGATAGAGAAAGATGAAGAATTAGGAGGGAGCTAGTGGTGTTGGAGAGGAGAAAGTGAGGGGTAAAAGAGCAGAGACAGCTGAGGGCTGGATAGCGGAAGAAAGTGCAGGAGGAGCGGAGAGGTGTAAGAAGAGGAGGAGACCGGGAGGTAATCGAGGTGGAAGACGAGGAAGAGGTGGTAAACAAGTTAGGGTTAAAAGTACCCCACCTGGCCAGGCAGTGGTGGTGCACGCCTTTAATCCCAGCACTCGGGAGGCAGAGGCAGGCGGATCTCTGTGAGTTCGAGGCCAGCCTGGGCTACAGAGTGAGTTCCAGGACAGGCTCCAAAACTACACAGAGAAACCCTGTCTCGGAAAACCATAAATAAATAAGTAAATAAGTAAATAGATAAATAAATAAAGTATTCCGCTAGAAATCACTGAGTCTAGTATCTGGGCTCTTCCCATGGCAGTGTTTAAATCGTGGCTGACTTGAAATCCAATTTCGAATGCACATAGCTGGCAATTAATTTTTTTAAAGTTTTACTCAGTATTTTTACTACATATATGTATGGTTGCATGCTATAGCATCCTCGTGCACGTCACAGAGAAGTTGTTGAGGGAGTTTAAAATGCCGCCCCCCCCCCCCCCCCCCCCCCCCCCCCCCCCCCCCGCCGTACATGGATTCCTAGATTCGAACTCAGGTTGTCAGGTTTGCCCTTTACCCTCGGAGCCATTTCCCTGGCCGCTTGACTGACAGTTGTGTATAAAAACATATCCATAAAGTCCGAAGGCTGAAGTAAGTTTCTCTCCCTGTGTCTAGCTTTAAGGCCCCAGGTAAGCATGGTGTCCATTCCTCAGATATGTATACGTTTCCTGATCCAGGGGAGACTTGACTGGCTGCATTGTCTTCCTCAGGCACTGGAACATTTGGCCGAGTGAACCTGGTGAAGGAGAGATCAAGCAGACGATACTATGCCTTGAAGATTATGAACATCCCAGATGTCATCCGCCTGAAACAAGAACAACATGTTCAAAATGAGAAAGCCGTCCTAAAGGAAATCAACCATCCCTTCCTCGTTAAACTGTGAGTTCCTGGCTCCTTCCTTCTCAGCTCCCCACTTCCCCAAGGTTATTCTCTCAAGGGTTCATTGTAGGGGAGGTGCTGGCTGTAGCTCAGGGGATAGAGTGCTTGCAGCTCAGCTAATACAGTGCTTATAGCTCAGCGGGAAGAGTGTTTGCCCTCACCTAATAGAGTGCTTGTAGCTCAGTGGTGTGAGGTAGGAGATGGTATCCAGGTTTTGTCTTGATTTATTTTTGTGTGTGACTGTGCACACCAAAATAGTACCCACAGAGGCCAGAAGAGGGTGCTATATCCCCTTGGAACTGTAGTTTCAGGTGGTTGTGTACTGCCCAACTGGGAGCTGGGATTCGAACTTGCATCCTCCACAGGAGCAGCAAGTGCTCTTAACCTCTGATCCCCCTCTAGCTCCAACCCATGAGTTTTTATAACAATACCTTTTTGTGTGACCTGACTAGGCCCCATGATGCTGACATTAGTCTCCTCAATGTTGATACCCCTGTAAAAGTCAAAGACCTGGCAGGTCTTTTGTTATAGTGTCTAATCAAGGTGACAGAGTAACCTAATTATTTATTCATAATTGTCATATAAAACTCAACTGGTGATTTTTATCAATGTTAAATCCCTTTTTTGCATTTTAGAAATATACACACATTTATATAAAAGGTATCTCTATACATAGTCTGTGAAGGTCCATATGTGCACATGCATGCGGAGATCAGAGGGTAACGTCTGCTGTCATTACGTTGTTACTTAGTTCACACTAAGAGTTTGAGACAAGGTCTCCTGCTGGCCTGGGGCTCAGCAAGTATGATTGTCTGTCCAGTGAGAGGGTAAATTGCCCAGCATGGCATCATTGAAACACCACCACACAATATCCATGCTATTCTAGAGTGTTCCATCCCGTCAGAACATTTAGAGGTACACTACAGTCAAAATTCATTAGAATAGCATAGAACTTGAGTGTCAGAGGTTGGAGAGAGGCTCAGAGGTTAAGAGCACCTGCTCCTCTTGCAGAGGACCCCAGTTCAGGTCCCAGCACTTACCTTGAAGCACATAGTCATCTGTAATTCTAGTTCCAGGAGATCCACTGCCCTCTGCTGGCCTCTGTGTCTGATGTACTTTTGTATATGTATATACACATACACACACAGATATAAATAAAATACAGATAATTATTTTTTAAAAATTTAAAGCACAGGCACCTTAAATTCCACATGGACTTAAATATTAGCCAAAATGGGTTCCTCTTAGCAACAGCACCAACTAAGGCTCATCCCTCTGTGAGTGTCTGTGTCCCGGTCACATCTCCTTATGAGGACTCAGTCCCGTTAGGTCAGATCTATCCCAGGGACATCATTCTACCTCAGTTTCCCCATTTAAAGACCCAGCTCCACACATAGTCCTGTCCTGAGGTCCTGGATATGCAGACTTTTAACACAGGAATTCTGGAGGAATGAATCCTGAGTGCTTAACTCAGACTTGACACCTTCACCCACTACTGTGTAACTACACATTCCTTATAGAAATCTTTTCTTGCTTTCTTTACATATCTTGCATTCACAGGACTCAACAGGTGGGTTAAGAACTAGGTAAAAGTTGACTTCATGCTACAGGGACTCTGAGTTGACCTACATGCTGTAGTCACAGCATGGCAGAGCATGCTGTGTGTCTGTCCAGCTGTCTGAACACAACTTAGTGGGTCTTTGAACTTCAAAGGATGATGTGCATGCTACTGGAGCTCATCAGGGTCATCCATCTGGCTTGTGAATGTTGTCTGTGAACATGGAGTAGCCTGCTTGTCTGGAACAGACATGGGATGCGTAGTGGAATGGCTCCAAACAGCTGATAGGCCTCTCTCAGTTTGTGTTGCTGCAGGGATGTGGACTTATCTGCAAATGGCTTTATTAAGAGTCAGTATTAGGCTTAGCCCACTGTGGGTGGTACCATTCCTAAAGTAGGGGGAAAATGTCCTGTTTCAACTGTTAACTGACACAACCCAGAAGGGTCTCACTGAGGAATTTTCCACATCAGATCGGCCTTCGTGCATGTCTGTGGGAGTGTTCTCATTGATGATTGGCATAGGGATCTGCCCACTGCGGACGACACCATTCCCTAGGCAGGACAAGGGTGTGCTGTCAACTTGACACAGAAAATTTGTGCTCTGGATGGAGACCATGATCCCTCACTTTGTGCACCCATTCCTCCTATGTCAGAGAGATATGCACACAGAGGTCTAACCAGTAATGAAGTCTGTGGTAAGCGGATCTCTGGAGAGGTCTGAGCTGTGCACTCTGAAAGGTTGAGTGTCTTTGGATACAGTATAGCAGGTGTTTGGAGGAGCCTCCCATCCTAGGGGGTTATAGTCAGAGAGTGCTCTGTAGACATTGCTGTGTGCACCTGGAAAGCAATGATGATTGTGGATGAAAACCTTGTGGTAGTTGAGTGGGAATTACTTGGGTGATAGATGATTGACAGATGGATGGATGGATAGATAGATAATAGATATAGATGTTGGTAGATGATATAGATGATAAAGATAAATGATAGATGGATAGGTAGATGATGGTAGAAAGGTGATGGATGGTTGGATGGATAGGTTAAATAGCTAGATAATGATGATGGATGAATAGAAGATAGTAAGATACATAGACACATACGTACATACACACACACATGCACACATACACACATACATACATATATACACGCATGCACACATACACACACATACGTATATACATGCATGCATGCATACATACGTGCATACATTCATACATAGTTTTGGTTAAGATCAAGGTGATGGTGAAGGTCCCACCTAGGGCAGCACCAGCTTAGCACATACTCTCCCTGTGAACTTCACCCACAGGTTGTCCTCACATAGCATCCTATGACATCCTAACATCAACCTACAACCACAGTCCATCTAAGCACAATCTTACCATTTGGGTGAGCTGGCATCGGACATCTTAATCAAACATCCTCATTACTTCCTGGCCAACTTTGACTCTGTTGCTATGATAAAACAGTGACCCAAAGGGACTGAGAGTAGCTAAGGGCTAACTTGGCTTTCACTTCTCTGTCACCCCTCATCTCGGAGGTAAGGCAGAGCAGGAACCAGAAGCAGAAAGCTTTCATCCAGCCCAGGGATCCTTATCCACAGTGGGCAAGTCCTCCTATGTCAGTGATCAAACAGGACACTCCCTGCAGACACCCACAGGCCAGTCTGATGTGGGAAATTCTTCACCAAGTCCCTTCCCAAATGACTCTGGGCCATCAAATTGACAGTTAAAGCTAACCAGGGCACATGCAGATGTTTGTACCTGTTTATGTATTTATCTTAATATCTGTGTTTATATTTTGATATTTGCACATACGCACCTGTTAGTGTCTGTGTATACCAGTATATTAACGGGAACATCCACCTCTGTATATCTGGAGTCTGCACACACATCTTACCATCAGTGTCTGTCAATTGCCAACATCCATCTGCATTCACATCTGAGCACCCACCTCAGCACCCATCATGTACTCTCTTATGTCTCCCAGATTCTGGACTGGCCATGACAACCGCTTTCTGTACATGCTGATGGAGTTCGTGCCTGGAGGTGAGCTGTTCACCTACCTGAGGAACCGTGGCCGCTTCTCCTCAGTTGCTGGAATCTTCTATGCCACCGAGATTGTATGTGCCATCGAATACTTACATGCCAAGGAGATTGTGTATAGGGATCTGAAGCCTGAAAACATTCTTCTAGATCGTGAAGGGCATATCAAACTCACTGATTTCGGCTTCTCCAAGAAACTGGTGGATAGGTGAGTGGGAACAATCACAGGGTCATTAGAGGTTAATCAAAAGTTGAAGGTTTGATTTAGATGGGTGGACAGACATGACAGAAGATGCATGGTGGGCTCTGGTGTGGTGTACCCCTCCCTCCATCTTTCAAGATGGGTATCCCTGTCTTTTCCTATTAATGTCGTAAAACACTCCTAAAAAAGCAGAAAGGAAGAACAGGTTTATGTTAGTTGGTTCCTGGTTCCATCATGGGATCATGTGCCAATAGGACCATGTGTAGAGGGCAGCTGCTCACATTGCAGCCACATACAGGAAGAGACAACAGGAAGTAGGGCAGGGTTATCAAACCTTGAGCCCAACCCCCAGTCACCCAGCTCCTCCAGTGAGTTGCCGCCTTCTTTAAAACCTGTCCAGAGTCTTCTCAAACAGCACTACCTGCTGGACACCAAGTGTTAAAATACCTGAGTCTGTGGGGAATAGTCCACACCCAGTGTACAACTTTGGGAGTGGGGGTGACCCTCCAGGTTGTGAGCAAAGGAGAAAATCATTCTGTCATCAAAGTAGTTGAATTTTGTTCTGGAAATTGTAATACTGTCCATGTGTGAATGACTTCATACTTGAATATATATGCATGTAGAAATATGTATATATATGCAAATATATGTATTTAGCTACATCTCTATATTACATGTACAATAATATAACTTATATATCTACATACATTTATATATAATTATATATAGTATTTATATAATATATAGTTGTATATGTATATGTACACACACACACACACACACACACACACACACACACACATACATATACATCCAGGGATACTATAGCTACATCACACAGTAGTTCCATTTTTTTGTTTTTTGTTTTTTTTTTTTCAAGACAGTGTTTCTCTGTGTAACAGCTCTGGCTGTCCTTTGTAGCCCAGTCTGGCCTCAAACTCACAGAGATCCGCTTGCCTCTGCCTCCCAAGTGCTGGGATTAAAGGCATGTACCACCACTGCCAGGTAGCAGTTCAATTTTTAATGTATTTTTTGCCTCAAGATGTATTTATTGTGTGTGTGTGTGTGTGTGTGTGTGTGTGTGTGTGTGTGTGTGTGTGTGTGTTACCCAAGAGGCCATAAGAGGACATTGGATCTCCTCGAACTGGAGTTACAGGTGGATGCATGCAGTCATGTGGGTGTTGGGTACTGAACCCAGGTTCTCTGCAAGAGCAGCCATCCCTTTTAAGGCTGAGCCACCTCTCCAGCCTGTACCTTAGTGTTTTCTATTTATCGAGCTCTTTCCTTGGGGGCCTTTGCTCACAGCTAAGAGAGCTCCTTTGTAGATAAGGAAGAAGATGGTGTCACATTCCTGTTAACCCATAGCCTGGGGGTAGGAGGCAAAAAAGGCTTCACATTGAGGGAATCAGGTATTTTCCAGCCTCATCAGGTTATCTCTGTACTGAGGACAGATTCTCTGTGGTCCCAGTACTAGCAGAGTGTGCTAAATACCCGTGACCAACCATACAACCATTGGAGCATTTTACAAAAGTGATTGTGTGCAGAGAAGTTCAGGGCTGTAGAAACAAGTCAAGTTCAAGGCTATAGAAAGTTCCACCTAAGGCATGCAAGCCTCCGTCCAGCCTGGGGCAGACACAGACTCAGCTTTCAGTAGGGTAAGTGGAGCTGTCTCAGATACAGTTACCTGTGGCCTCATCATCTGCTACCGTGCTCTATCTACCCTGATCTTATTCTAACTGAGTCAGGCTACAGGGATCAAAATCTGAGTTAATGGGCCCAGAAGCACACAGGAGCCTGTGACTGATTGACTTCTAGTTGATTCCATCGGGGAGGGATAGGAGGCAGAGGACGTGTGTGCAGCCCAGACTGGCCTGGCACTCATCAGGCAAGGATGACCTTGAACTCCTGGTCCTCCTGCCTTGACCTCCTAAGTGCTGAGATGGCAGGTGAACATCTCCGCATCCTGTTTATGCTGGGGATCGAATCTGGGCTCTGTGTCTGCTAGGCAAGCGCTCTACCCATTCAGCTACAAGCATTCCACCTACGAAACTATAGGCACTCTACTCACTGACCTATAGTTCCATCCCTGCAGAAGTATCGGAGTTGAACCACACCATCCCTTGTACCAGGTCTGGATCAGTTCTTTACAGATTCTGGGCCCGAGTCCCCTTTCGTATGTTACACCTGCAGAACTTTTCTCCCCATCTGTTCTCTGCTCTGTCTGGTTTGCTGCACAGAAGCTTCTGGTGTGCCTTCCCTTCTGTCAAACTTACTGAGCTGCTAGAGTCCCTTTTAGAAAATCCTTGTGCTGTGACTTGCACAGGTCCCCTGCAACTGGAGTTACAGATGATTGGACTACAAGAACAAATACTCCTATTCACTGAGCCATCTCTTGAGCCCGCTTTTTTTTCCTTTTTTTTTTTTTTTTTTTTTTTTTTGGTTTTTCGAGACAGGGTTTCTCTGTGTAGCTTTGGAGCCTGTCCTGGAACTCGCTTTGTAGACCAGGCTGGCCTCGAACTCACAGAGATCCGCCTGGCTCTGCCTCCCGAGTGCTGGGATTAAAGGCGTGCGCCACCACTGCCTGGCTTCAAGCCCACTTTTTAAAACATGATTTATTACATTTATTTCTTTTGGATGGAGGAATGTGCCACGGTGTAGAGGTCAGCTTGTGAGAGTCAGTGCCCACCTGCCTCCAGGAGGGTCCCCAGAATTGAACTCAGGTTGGCAGGCTTGAGTTCAAGCACACTAGGCCAGCACTCTGTCAGCTTTACCATGGTCCCAGCTCCAGGACATTTCCATTATGTGTGGCCATGAAGCAGTCCCTCCCTGCTCCCTTCATTCAACCCTCATAAACCCCTGGTGTGTATTGTGCCTCTCTGGGTCTTCCTGGCCCGCACACTCTACACACAACATCAGTGTGGTATTTTTTCCCTTTTTATGTCCAACTTATGCAATGGCCTCTTTGTCTATGTATGTGGTGCCACCTCTCAGATTTACTGTCCTTTTCATGGCTAAATACTATTTCATTTTAGAGTTTGACCACATGGTGTTTATTAAACCTTGTATAGCTTAACTTATTTTTTAGTTGAATCTTTCTTTTAAAGAAAGAAACAATCAATTTTTCTTATTTCATATGCTCTGCAGTTTGCAGATGTCAGCAGCTATTTGCCACACCAATTGGCTGTTTTTAAATATAAATGAAAGCCAGGCATGATAGCACACACCTTTGATCCCAGCACTTAAGAGGCAGAGGCAGGTGGATCTCTGTGAGTTTGAGGCCAGCCTGGTCTACACAGGTGAGTTATAGGATAGCCAGGGCTGTTACACAGAGAAATGCTGTCTTGAAATAAACAAAAACTCTAAAGTCCTGATCCTCCTGCTTCTACCTCCACATCTTTTTTATGCCATGCTGGAAATTGAACCCAGGGCCTACTGCATGCCAGGCATGTGCTCTACCAACTGAGCCACATTCCCAGCCCCTGTGACTAATGTTAAAGATAATTCATACTGCATATCGATTTACCCACCTCTCACTCTCTACTTCCCTAGTATTCTGTCTACTACTTTCAGTTTTGTTTGTTTTTCTAATTATGTGTATCTATGTGTATGTTCATATGAGTCCAGTACTTAGCAGAGGCCAGAAAATGACCATGAGACCATTAACTAAATTATATGTAAGCTCATGCTTGTAAGGAAGACATTCAATGAAGAACATGTCACTATAGGGTCAGTTTATGTTATCAACATAGATGGAGCAGCTGGGTGTGGCGGTCCATGCCAACCCCAGCAAGTTGGAGGCCATCCAGAGCTACAAACAAGGAAAAGAGCTTAGGTTCCGGAGTGTTTATATTGTTGTTGTCATTATTGTGTGTGTGTGCTGAATGTTTGAGCACATATTTGTCACGGTACATACGTGGGAATCACAGGACAGCCTTTTGCAGTCTGTTCTCTCCTTTTACCTCTTATGTGCATTGATCTTAGGTTCGCGCAACTTTACCAGCTGAGCCATAGTGAACACCCCAACTTTGGATTCTTTTAGCATTATGGAACAGGTTCATGTACCTGTGCCCACAGACTAGTCTGCTGTGGGCACTCCTTTACTGAGACCCTTCCCAGGGGATTCTGCGTTTTGTCAGTTGACAGTTAAAACTCACAGCGCAGCTTCTCCGTGCCTAGAAAATGGGTCTGCCCACAGTGAATATGGCTTGTGCCTCAAATACTTTCCCATCATGAAATCTTAAACTTGTCACATCAGTTGGTGCTCAGAAAATTTTAGATTTTGGGAACATTTTGGTTTCTTTCAGTTAGGAATGTTCAACCTATGTGGCCATACGTCAATTTTCTGCACTGTGACCATACTTGTGACATGGTCTTCATCAACTCTGTTATAACACCTTCCGATTTCATGAATTCATGCTTCTGTTGCCTCCATAGAACATGGACTCTCTGTGGGACACCGGAATATCTCGCCCCAGAAGTCATACAAAGCAAAGGCCATGGGAGGGCCGTGGACTGGTGGGCACTAGGCATCCTTATATTCGAGATGCTGTCTGGGTGAGTGACTCTCCTGACAAATGTGACTGTATGCATATGGTGTCTCTTTCACACCCCACACACTTCCTTGGAATCTCCTTTCTGACACTGCACATGGACACACTCACATACCCCACTGTCAAGATTTAGAGGGTGACTGAGTGTTTAGTTTTCTTAAGCAAGAATTTAAATTTTCATAGACAATCACAGTTCCTTATGTGTAACACCCATCTTATTTGTGGGATGATATGTGAGGCTGAGCAGTACCCATGGTGAACAAATGACACCAGCCAAATAGCTTAGTTAGTAGTGATGGAAGAGCAGATGAAGAAGGCAGGATTGTGTTACATTTTTTTCACCCTAAATTCCTTTTCTTAGCAATGCATAGGACGTGGGAGTAATGGGCTCTATTTCTGTCTCCTGATTAACAGGAAGGTTGGTCATTCCTGAGGGTTACTGGTGTCTGTCAAGTCTAGTATATATCTGAGAAAATTGTGTAAACACAGAAAATGAGATACCCACAGATCTAGGTGTAGCTGGGGGAATTGGAGGCCAACACCATGGCAATGTTCACCTGTGTAGACCTAAAGAGTCACTGGCTCCTGCTGGGGAAGTAACACTTATCCCAGCCCCATGAGTTTTTTTCTGGTGCCTAAATGAAGGAAAGTTCATTCTTTGTGGATCAAGCCAGATAGAAAAAACAGCTTGCAAGAGGATTTTACAAAAATAGTATGAGATTTGTCAAAAGTGAGCATCTGCCTACCCACCCATCCATCCATCCACCCACTCATCCATTCACCTACCCACCTATCCGTTCACCTATTCACACATCTACCCACTAATCCACCCATCTATCCACCCATCCAAACACACACCTATCCATCCGTCTATCCATCCATCCATACACCCACTCACCCATCCACACACCCACCCATCCATCCCTCCACCCATCCACATACCCATCTATCCATCCACCCATGACCCATCCATCCCCCAACTCATCCATGCACCCACCCACCCGTTCATCTACCCACTCATCCATCTACTACTCTTCCAGCTCCTAGAGGCTCCAGATGTCCTTGGCTTTTGAGGCCCCATCAATCCCATCTCTACATGGCTTCTCCTGTGGGTCTGTATCTCTTCTGTCTGTCTTGAGATTACTGTTACTACATTTAGGGTCATCCTTATCCAGAATGGACTCATATCAAGATCTGTTACTCATTCTCTAGGCAAAGACCCTATATGCAAATGATGTCCCAGTCATGTGTTCTGGAAAATTTGTACATATTGTATGTGAGTGTGAACAATTCATGAAATATATTTATACATATAAAACCACATTTATATGTACAAAATGTATAATATATAACATAATTTATAATACACACACAAAAAAGAATAGAAATGCTTTAGAATCAATAGGAAATTATTTTTTTCATTCCAAAGTGATTGTGAAGAAGAGCCTGGGGTCTCAGTGTCTTTTTGAAGGGCACATCTCCAATAACCTAACTTCTTTCCACTAAGCCCCTCCTCTTGAAAGTTTGTAACTGTCAGTTCCAACCCCCTCGGGGGAGGAAGCCATCAACAGAGGCTATTTGGGGGCCATCAGGACCCTCCATGCTCTCCTTATCCTCCTGTGGCTACACTACCTCCTGAGACCATCTGTCTCCTATCTGTTTTCACACAGCCATGTTGCCGATTGTCAAGCAGTGGATCCATCTGACACAAATTATTTTTTGCCTCCATTAAGCAAAAATAATAATTGTCACAAAGTAGGTATAACTCTATATTTAATTCTGCTAAAAATAGACGCTTCTCTCTGCAACAGGTTTCCTCCGTTTTTTGATGACAACCCGTTTGGAATTTATCAGAAAATTCTTGCCTGTAAGATAGACTTCCCCAGACACTTGGATTTCACCTCTAAGTAAGTGCACTCTCGGTTTCCTGCTCTGTCCCTGTGTTTATTTTCAACAGTTTGTGAAATAACGCTGTAAACACACACTCCTGGCAAACTCTGATTCATTGCATGTGTCGGTCACTTTTTCCACTAGGAAGGGAAAACCTTTCAGTTATTCTTATTTTATTGAAATGGAATATTTGAAAGGCTTGTTATGTATATCATTCCTTTTGAGAAGAAGGTATTGAAGCTAATGCAGATTTGGAACCAGCTGTGTAAGTGATCACTCTGTCCATCCATTCATCCATCTCTCCATACATCCATCCATCTGTTTCATTTATTAGTTATTAATTTACAAATTGAGAGAGGGTCTTTCTTTGTAAGCCTAGCTGTTCTGGAACTTTCTATGTCGCTAAGACTAGCCTTGAACTCGTAGATATGGCCCCCTGAGTTCTGAGATGAAAAGTATGCACCACTGTGCCAGGCCTATTTATTAATTTTTTAACTTAATTTTTTTTTTTCGAGACAAGGTTTCTCTGTGTAATAGCCCTGGCTGTCCTGGAACTCACTCTGTAGACCAGGCTGGCCCCGAACTCACAGAGATCCACCTGCCTCTGCCTCCCAAGTACTGGGATTAAGGGTGTGTGCCACCACTGCCTGGCTTAACTTTAAATTTTTAAACTTTTTTTTTGAACCACTAAGAATAGAGGGGCTTAGTGGGAGGAATTAGGTTACTGGAGCTAGGCCCTTGAACGAGACGCTGGGTCCCAGGCTTTTCTTCATGATCACTTCAATGTGTAAATCCAGGATTTTTATTAATTTTTTGACAGTTCTATACACACATACGGTATATTTTGCTGAGATTGGTTTCTTTATTGAGCTAGAAGGTTGAAGCTCTGTGGCTCCACAAGTGTTAATTTTTCTTCCTTTTTTTTCCTCTTACTGAAATTGCACTCCCCATAAAGAATTCTTGCACACAAGATGTTTAGAGGTCAACATGTTGCTTAAAAAACATTTGCTTGATATTTATGCTGAACATACATTTCATGAAGATTATGGCAAAATTAGTGGAAATAAAAAAAGAAGGGTTAAAATATATAAATACATTTAACTTTCCTTGATTTGAATGTGGTCAGATTGGAGTATTTTCTAACCAGAATGAGCCTTGATTTCCAGTTGTTCATTTTATTTAGTTAGTTAGTTAGGAAGAAGGGTTCCACATAGCCCAGAACTTCTGATCCTCCTCTTTCAGCCTCCCAAAGGCAGGGTGACAAACAGACTTGTGCCACCCGTATCCAGGGTATGTAATGCAGCAGATGGACCCCAGGCCTAGGTGAGCACTGTACTCACTGAGTTATAAGCATTCCACCAACTGAGCAACAAGAGTTCTGCCCACTGAGCAGCAAACACTCATCCAACTTAACAGCAAGCACTCTGCCCACTGAGTTACAAGCACCCTTTCTACTGAACTGCAGTTCCTGTTGGCTATTATCATAGGTGCTATGGATTGCAGGATGTTTGAGTGTGTGTGCATGCATGCTCACACACACACACACACACACACACACACACACACACACACACACACACAGCATCCCATCTCCACCCTGCCTTAATTTCTCTGAGTCTTTGAGTCTTTGATTTACTGCACCTCACCATCCTTTTCATTCTCTCGTCTTTGATCCACGATAAAGACACAGACGAGTGTCTGGGACTTCATTCAGCAGGTGTGCTCAGCCTGAAAACTCAGTCTCCCCATACAGAACTGTGTAAAGGAATGCAGATGTGGGCCTGCAAAGCAGCCCCGGCAGTTACACAGGAGGAAACCCTGCTGGGATAGATAAGTGCTAAAGGGTTGCAGGCAAAGTTCACAGGATGGAGGGCTTGTAGCTCAGTAGGTGGAGTGCTTGTAGTATAGCAAGCCGAGTGCTTGCTGGCAGAGGTGGCTGGGTCCTTGTTGTTCAGTGGGGAGAGTGCTTATACCTTGATCAGTAGAGATTTTGTAACTCTACCAATTGAGTACTTGGTAATTGAGTGTTGCATAGAGTACTTGTAGCTCAGTGTTCAGAGTGCTTGTGGCTCAGTGGGTAGAGTGCTCGTAGCTCAGTGAATAGAGTGCTGGTGGCTCTGTTGGCATGCACCAAGGCCTGGGCTCTATCCCTCACCATGTATGGTACACATGTTTGTAGTCCTGGCATGTAGAAGACAGAAGCTATAGCTTAGAGGTTGAAGGTCATTGTTAGGGGTGGGAGCCCAGGTTGCAAGCTGCCTACCTACTCCAACCCCCAAAACGCTTTTTCCATGGACACACCGTGTGTGGGTGCAGGTGGGGTTGGTGCCTGCATTGATTCTGGCATTTTCCGAATCTAAGTAAAATCTGCTCCACTCATGCAGGGACCTCATCAAAAGGCTGCTGGTGGTAGACAGGACCCGGCGCCTCGGCAGCATGAAGGTGAGTCATGTCAGAGCATTCCAGTTTGCACACTGATGGTAACATCATCCACTCCGAGGGTCCCAGACTATGCTCAATGTTAGCTATTTTTGTGGTTTATTGATTTCTTTTTGTTCTGTGTATATACTACACGGGTGCATTACCTGCCACAGTGGGCAGAGCGCAGTGGGTTCCCTGCAGCTCCAGTTAGAGATTGTCCGCCACCATGTGGGTGCTGCAAACTGAACCTGGGTCCTCTGCAAGAGCAGCCATCTCTCCAGCCCCTGTTTTGCTGTTTTCGTGTTGCCCAAATCAAAGTCAGTATGTAGCTGAGAATAACCTTGAACTTGTAACCCACCTACCTCGGCCTCCCAGAGCAGGGATGACAGGCATGCACCACTATTCATGGTTGACTTGTTACTCTTTATTTTTTAGAGTTTTTGTTCATTTGCTCTTATTTACTTTTGAGACAGGGTCTCACCATGTAGTCTGGCTGTCCTGGAACACTCTTATGTAGACAAGGCTGGCCTCAAACTTACAGGCATCCACCTGCCTCCATCACCAGAGTACTGGAAGTAAAGGCATGTGCCACCACACCTGGCCACTTGTGGCTTTTTTAAACTGCTTTATTGGAGAGAGATTTTACACATGCTACACACATGCACACACACACACACACACACACACATGCACGCACGCGCACACACACTGTTTCTCAAATGCTTTTTACTAAGTGTGTCTGTTTATTCTCAAGAATGGGGTTGAAGACATCAAGCGACACCGATGGTTCCGGGGTGTGGACTGGGAATCTGTGCCACAGAAGAAGCTAAAGGTGGGGATACCATACACCTGTGAAGTAAATGAACCCCTCCATAGCCTATCCTAACCGCCCAGCAAGCTCCCACTGCTGTCTCAGTCTTGCAAATTAATTCACCAGAGACTTCTTTCGTGATTGTCTACATGTACATGTGTCTGTGTTTATGTACACCGTGTGACTGCAATACCAGGGTGCCTTCAGCCCCTCCTTGTAAAATTTACAGTCTGAGTGACAGACACTGCATGTCCCCACTCAGCTGCCCAGTGTCACCTTTCCCCGTGAGCCATGCAGACATTTCTGTCAATCAACAAAAGTGTCCAACTTCCTCACATTTCTGTCTAATGGTGCTTCACTTATTTATTTCGTGTGACCCTTAGCCACCCATTGTGCCCAAGATAACGGGTGATGGCGACACCTCCAACTTTGAGACATATCCAGAAAGTGAGTGGGACAAGATCCTTCCCGTATCCGACAAAGAACTGGAAATATTCAAAAATTTCTGAGGACAGGAACACACATCTGCAAGGTGAAACTTGTTTTTTCTGAATTTTAAGGTAGGTTTTCATGTAACCGAGGATAGCCTTGAACTTACCATGTGGTTGAGGAAAATACACTCTGTGCAACCAAGGATTGTGAGTTAGCCAGGCTTCAGGGTTTCTTAAAATGATTTAGAGGTCAGTTGGTAGTAAATGTTGCCAGTCACTTAACCGTGCCCCCCCTTTCTCTTTTTGCGTCACTAGGAGCATGAGAAATTCCGTACTGTGCCGAGGACCAGAACCAATTCCGTTGCTTGTCTTTTGCCTTCTTGATGAAAAACTAGAAGGATTCCGCGTATGTAACCACCATTCCTTCGATCCTGAGGATCATTGTCCGCAGGACTTGGCCTCTTTTGACAACTCAAAACCTGCCTAGTGGGAAGTTCTTAATAGCTGTTAAACTGTAGCTTTGTCCCTTCTCTCTGAGTCTTGTGTTTCATGCTGCAGATTTAGGTTTTGTTGTGGTGGTTTCTCTACTGAATTTTGTAAGTTTGAATTTGACCCATTTGGTGATAGCTGTCACTGTGTATGTGCACAGAAATTGTGCACTACTGGACATTTGGTACTTTGATGTGCCTGTGACATGCTTATTTTCCAAAGCTTTCTGAAAATCTGTCACTCTGCAGGTAAAAAGGGGTGTGATATATGCATTTTTAAAATGCGTTTCTCTGCATGTGGCAGGCATTTGTGTATGTTGTTTATTTAGTCACTGTTTATTTTGTTCCTCTCTGGTCACTATAAACTCGGAAGTCAGGAAGCCACATGCCCTGCAGACCCTCCTTCAAATATGGCACAAACAGGTGGCTTTCCCCAGTCTTCCAGTTTAGACGTTTCCAGTAAAATATCCCTTCCTAACCTTAAGCCAGAACTCTGCACACTGCATTAGCCACATGGCAACCTGGGTGCAAAGATTGCCTTTTTAGATAATACACATTTATCCACATTCCCCAAAGGGAACTTTAAGGATCCACCCCTCAATTCCCTCCTCTGTTGTAAATGACATTTTCTTCCCACCAAACTCAATCCTGTTCTTCCAACCTTGTCCATCCGTCAAAACTCAGGTTCCAGGCTGGGAACTTTTATGAAAGTTTGTACAGAGCTGTATTTTCAGTGAGCTTTCTCAGCCCTTTCAATATGCAAAATAACTGGGTTATGTACCGTGAACAAACACACACACACAGGAGGTAGAATTCAGGATTAAAATCAAGCCCTGTGAATAGACACGCTGGCCCACATAGGTGCTGTCAGCATTTGATATTAAGTAGGAAATAACGTAAAATTAGCCTAGGAAATATTGCCTTAATTCTAAACACATATGGGGAGATCACACATGCCCACATGCACCCATTGTGTGCTCCTAAAGTACTTAGCAATCTGACCCTGATCAGATTAAATCAAATTAAACACCCTTAATTGGGCTGTAAATTATACCATGTGATGTCATTGTAGTGACATCAGGTAGTGCATAGGAATCAAATTTTTTTTATTTTAATATTTTTATTGATGTGTGTGTGTGTGGCTTCAGTACACATGGGGGTCAGCAGAGCACTCCAGAGACCCTGTAGCTGGACATACAGGCGATTGTGTGCTGCCCTGTGCATGCTGGGAATCTCTGCAGTCCACATAGTTAACATGTAAAAGAAATAAAATTAGGAATGAGTGGTCGGGCAAAAACAACCAGGAAAAAGGATGAGGGAAATATGTCCTATTCCCACCTATGAGTCCAAGGAGGACTGTGCACCCAGCGCCTTCTCATAAAGCAATGGGACAGTTAATAAATTACAAATTCCTCAGGTGGTGGTTTGATTTAACCAAGTAAAAGATAAAATAATCAGTAACCAATACTAATTTAAAAACAAATCCTCATGCTCTTCAACCAAGACTGACTTTAAAATTTTTTTTGTTTTAGTGTTTAGTAGAGATAAAGTACTAAGTGCTATGGAATGTTGCTGTCTCACCTAACTAGCTGTTACATGTTACACTGTAAAATGTGATTCAATGGCTAAATACTGTTCACAGGACCTCAGGCTGTGCAAATATCTCAACATTGGACCAAAACATATCGATCAATCACCACTGTGCTGTTCGGTGAACCATAGGCAAGATTCAGCCTTGTGTGGGTCTCGATGTTGGGGTAAATAACCAGGGAAAGTGTCTATCACTCCTGGCTGTAGATTTAGAGGCGTGTCGATTTCCTGGGTTTTTTTTTTTTTGTTTTTTTGTTTTTTTTTTTGTGTGTGTGTGTATGTGTTATTGTTGTTGTTGTTGTTGTTGTTGTTGTTGTTTTGGATGAAACTCCATAGGGAGCATTAATGAATGCCTGACACCTGTCACTCTTGTTTCTTACACACACTGCAAACAACCTGAAAATTATAATGCAAAGTCAAGGTTTTTGTATGGGTTGGTTTTCCCCCAATCTCTTTGTGTGTGTCTGTGTCCCCTACCCTTATTTGTTCCTATCAGATCTGCCTTGTGAACCTCACAGCCTTGCATCCAACCACACACTGTCATTTCTGGAGGGGAGGGGTTACTTCAGTTGGTTATGGAATAGACATCATCACTTGTGTGACTTAGGGAAAGTGAGCAGGAGCAGGAGCCTCCCTGGCCCTCCTGGTCCTCACAGGTCAGACTCAAACTCACAGTGTGGGGACGCACCACTTGACCTCCTGATGGAACAGGTATCATGTGCACTGTGCAGGTGTGTCCCACTGCTGAGCACCTGCCGACTTGCCTGAAATTATCACTCGGAATGAAAAAGCCTTTTTTGTTTTTTTTCTAACTTTCTAATCCTGCTGCACAATTAAAAAATCACTGTGATTTGTGTATATATCTATCTATATCTTTCTATATATATTTGCCCCAGGAAAATTTTTCTGCTAATTTATAAAATAATACTACTGAGTCCAGGTTTGTTTAATAAAAGTTTGTATGTTAAGAAATCTGTTTCAGGTCCTTCCTTGGCTTTTCCTATAATCCAGGGTAACACCATAAAACAAAAGTCACCGTCTGTCGTTAATGACCACAGTGATCCAGTCACCAACAGCAGTTGGTGCCCACTTCTCGAGGCGGAACCGAAGAGGCTCAACGTTAGGTTTATCAAGGAAATGAGTATGCACCGCTGTAATAGGGGCTGATGGTTGTTTCCAGAAATATTAGCCCCCCGGGATTGTTCAAGTGTTACAAACTGCAGCCAGCATGAAGGGTACAGTAGGAAAGCTAGCCGGGGAGGGTAGGGCTGCATTACCCCAAACACCTGCGGCTACAGAAAGATTTCCCCTAGGGAGGGTCGAAGCCCCCTTGAGTAGGCTAAACACACATGCTGGGGTGGTGGGGATGTGGGGGTTGTATTGTATTCGGCCCTCAGAGGTGACAATGCTTCATTCTTCAGCAGTTAAAGAGGAAGTTTTCCTATCCGTCTGGAAACCTCCCTTCCTAACCAACCTCAGTTGGCTCGATGGACACGCTCAGTAATCAGCACCTAGAACACCGAGACAGGACAATGTTGGCAGCTAGACAGAGCCACACAGCAAGACACAGTTTTAAAGAACAACAAACAAGCCATACCTCAGTTGAAGGCCTCTGAAACTGCACACCCAGAGTGGCTCTAAATTAGCAACAGTATTTAAAAAATAATGATTGCACTTTGTCAAGCAGAATTAGCAACTTACATTTTTTTTAAAAAAAAACTATAACTCTGTTAAAAGTTTCAATCTATATACACATATATAATGCAACATACTAGTTATGTTAAATCCTAGAAACCAATGTGAGTCCAGTGGGGTGGGAAAACACATTTAAGCTTTAAGAACCATTTTCTCTATATATTAGCATTTTCTCAAATACATACATGAGAAAAATGAGGTAATGATAACATACATGGAATAGGGCCCCCAAATCACGTGTGTGTGTGTGTGTGTGTGTGTGTGTAAATCTATCTAACACAGAACATAGGTGCTGGGCATAGCAATGCTAGGGGAAGGTGCCCACTGTTGTGCCTCGGCCAGAAGTTGGTAAATAGTAAACAGTGCCAGCTTCCATCACAGGAAATGTGATGGAAAACATGGAATCTGCAGCAAGGTTGGCAAATCACAAACATCCTATAATTGTTTCATAAATCTATTTAAATGATTTTTTAAAAGTGTGTTCTCCCCAGTAGCTGCTAGTTGGAATTGTCACTGCAGCCGGCACAATCCGGGAGCCAATTCCACTGCCCCAGGACCCACAAGAGTTTGAAAACCTTTTGTTGGGGTGAGGAAGGGATGGGAGTCGGAGGTGGGTTCTCTGTGAAAACACGTGGATTTGCAACGCTGCTATAAATACAGAAACATCACGTGGAGTTATACACAGCAAGACTTTGGGTTCTTGTGGAGTGGGACCAGGTCGATGGGCCCCCTGGCAGGCCGGGTTGGGAGGCAGGGTGCCAAGTGCTGATGCGTGGGACCTGGAGTCGGGGGTTTAGTGAGGGGGGTGTTTGGAGGATCCCAGAGGCAGCAGGTGCCAATGGCTGCGGGCTAGAATGTGCCAGCCCCACATGCGGTTTAATCACTCAGGGCAGCAACCCCAGATGGGGGTATGAAAGGAAAGGAATGGGACTTGAAGGGCGGGTAGGGAACTCAGGCTTCTCCAGACATTGGAGGGCAGGGATCAGGCCAGGAGCCCCCTCACCCTCCCAACCCCTGGGTGGAGGTTCACGCCCTCCCTGATCCTTGTCCTCAAGAGATTCCTAGGAGAAGACTCACTCACGAAGGTGAGAGACAGGCCCTGGCTGAGAGGAAATGTGTCTTATAAAAACTTTTATTAAAATAGGTCCTTGTTTTGTTTCGTTTCATTTTTTTAGTACTGTCTTATTTCATAGCTCAGAGTGGCCTGGAGCTCAGGTTGGCATCAGAACATCAGGCACACTGCAGTCTTCATCCAAATACTGGGATTCCTTTTTTTTTTACTTTTGATCAGATTTACTCATTTTATTTTATGTCTGAGTGTTTTCTCTGCATGTATGTCTAAGCATGTTTGGTGTCCACCAATATCAGAAGATGCATCAGATCCCCCTGGAACTGGAGTTAGGGATGATGGGATGGTTGTGAACAACTGTGTGGGTGCTGGAAATCAAACCTGGGGCCTCTGCTAAAGAAACCAGTGCTCTTAACTACTGAGCCATCTCTCCAGCCCCTAAATGCTGGGATTCTAATTTGGAGCTCCCCTGCCAGAAAGTAGAAACAAATGTTAAGATATGCCCTGCATAAATATGTCTCAGAATTAGGTAGATGGCTCTGTCATGCAAGCCCAGGGCCCTACCATTGATCTTCAATGCTGTAAGTCCTCAGATTTTTCCGCAGCCCCCACCCTCATCTGACTCTCGATGTATGGCTAAGATTGAATCCGATGAATGAGGATTGAATCAGATGAATGAATAGGCATCTGTAGACCGTGTGAGGGATGAGATAAGCAAGATTATTCTAGATGTGGTACAGGAGACTGGCTGTTCTTTGAGGTGAAATAGTCTGTGCATCAATGTTTTCCTTGCATGTATGTATACTTAGTGCCCGTATAGTACATAAGAATCCCTTGGAACTGAAGTTGCAGATGGTTGTAAGATGCCATGTGGAAGTTGGGAATCAAGACGTGGTCCTACAGAAGAGCAGCAAATGCACTTTATTAGGTGATCCATCAATCCAGGACTCACTCTCCCCTTTTCTATCTGAGGCAGCATCTGTAAGCCTACACTGGTCTTGAAGTCATTATCCTGCCTCAGCTTCCGATGGGCTGGGAGTATAGTTGAGTCTTACTCTAACTGAACTTAATGGGCTTTTATGGTGCTTAGTGCAAATCTAAAATAAATACAACCAATAAATAAAATGGTGGAGATGAGAAAATTTGTAGAGCCTTCAGCAGAAGGCAGGGACCCAGGGCAGGGTCTGAATATGGATTAGACTCACAAACCCAGGATAAATTTACAATGCCAGAGGCTTCATCCGTAGCTGTGGACACAGGTAGTGTACTGGATTTGAGCTTGGATTAGGTCCACAAATGCTCTGGAATTTCGACATCTCTCAGTTGATTTAGCAGAATCTATAAACCCAGGTTGGGGACTGGATCCAACATTGGGTTAGGCCAACCTGGTCTACAGAATGAGATCTAGGGCAGCCAGACATACATAATGAGACCATGTCTCAAAAAACAAACTAAGCCAGATGGTAGTGGTGCATGCCTTCAATCCCAGCTCTCAGAGGCAGGCGTATCTCTGTGAGTTCGAGACCAGCCTGGTCTACAGAGTGAGTTCCACACAGCCAGTGCTGTTACACAGAGAAACTCTACCTCAAAAAAAAAACAAACCAAACAAACAAACAAGCTAAATGAGTTAGGGGACGGGAGAGCCAGCTCTCTAATGCTAACACTAACACTAGCCCTAAAACCCTGACCTCCATCCCCTAACCCTAACCTTAATGTAACATGACAGATTATAAAACATGCACACCTAGACCCAACCCTACCTTGCATTATAGAGCTAATTTATATTAAGGGATATGGTAATTGGATTCTACAGCAAAGAAAAATGTATGAAATATGAAATCTACCATGTTTTGATGTAAAAAGGTTTCTAATGCTAACACTAGCCCTAAGACCCTGACTGTAATCCTTTAACCCTAACTCTAACTCTAACCTTAACCTAACCTAACAGACCATAAAACACTCATACACCCAGATCTAAACTTACCTTGCGTCATAGACATAATATAATTGGAGATATGTAAAAAAAAGGGACACAATATAAAACCTATCAGATTTTGCTGTAAAAAAAATTCCAAACTTTGAGATTAGATACTTGATTTTTGAGAAAAACATTTGGACCTTGTTTGAGGCATTAAAAAGTTTAAACCTGCTGCCACTGGAACAATGGATAACTCTAGGATGCTATATACCACTGTTACCTTGAGTCAGAATAACTGGAAAAGTACTCTGCAGAGCTGTTAACCTAGAAATGGTACCCCCAGGCAAGGGAACCCAGGCAGGGAAGTGACTGAAGACTTACAGCCATAGAGGTGAAGGCTGAGGAATAGCACTCAACATCTATAGGGTCTTGGGGGCCCCCTAAGTATGATAGTTTGTTCCTACAAAGTACCCTGCCTTGGTGACAATGTGTTTGTCTGGAAGTCAGCCGCAGTCAGACTCTCCAGTGGTCAAACCATCACAGAGGATAGGACATCCAGGTCTGCATGGTATGCAGAAGTCCAAGGAGCAAGGTTGACTCTCCAACAATCCCGAAAGGAAGGCCACAAGATTATATGCATATTTACAGACTCCTGGGCCTTACCAAATGGTATTAAAATCTGATATAAAAAGTGGAAAAGGACAAATTTTACAATCAATAGAAAAGAAGCTCTAAAGAGGCCTCGATTTTTTTTCTGTTTTTTTTTTTTTTCAAGACAAGGTTTCTTGGTATAGACTTAGCTGCCCTGGAACTTGCTCTGTAGACCAGGCTGGACTGGAGCGCAGATATGTCTGACATATAATACTATGATCAACTATCCAAGATCAATGCAACCAGATATAAGATTAACCAGGAACAAAGACCTAGAACTAGAATCAAATGGGAAAATGACACATGGGAACAAATACTACCTACCATTAGTCTAGAGAAGATCACTTATGAATGGCTATTGCCACTACATCAGAAACTAGGACATCTAGGAACACAAGAACTAAAACACTGGTTAGAATAATGTACTATTAAGGCACCCTGGCATGTTACTAAGAATACTATTAAGAGTTGTGAAAAAATGCTCACAGAAGCCAACTAGATTATAACTCCATTGGCAAGGCTACATGATGTAAGCTATATTTAACTATATAATACAAATACACTTCATAGGACCATAGACCAAATATAGGAATAAATATGTATAGTGGCAGACTCCTTTATAGTATTAGGCATAGCAGT